ATAACCAGAAGTACCCCATGTAAAGTACCCACACTGACTCCTCCACAGCCCATAACCAGATGTACCCTGTGTAAAGTACCCACACTGACTCCTCCACAGCCCATAACCATAAGTACCCCATGTAAAGTACCCACACTGACTCCTCCACAGTCCATAACCAGAAGTACCCCATGTAAAGTACCTACACTGACTCCTCCATAGTAGATAATCAGCCTTTTATCTTGCAATCTTATTCTACAATTAATATGCCTGCAATCAAAACACACCAAATTAATTTTCCTGATGGGTTTTTTTTCTTTCTGAAGTGTCAGTTTCTGTGTAGCCAGAGGAAAAAAGTATGTATATCATTAAACTGCAAGCGGTCCTTTTCCTTTCTAAACTCTGCAAATTGCCTTGCTCAAGCTGAATAAATTACTAAACTTTTTCACTTGGCATCCTTTAACTCTCATCTTTTAGGCATAGTAGTTTGCGCTTATAATTTCCTTTAATCTAGTAATGGATGTTTATCCCTTCAGGCTACATGTCTGATGATATTTATCAATTTATTTCTCATTAACGTGGATAAATGCGGGGGATTCGGCCTGAAATAGTGGCTATTTCTGCATAGCTGCAGGGCACTTTCACCTGCTAGACAAAGCCACTCAGCACGCTTCACTTATGGGCGGAAGCCTCTCTGTCAGAGACTCGAAGCCCTTCATCTCCCTCCGCTTCCTCGCACACACATTCGCCAGGCGTCATATTGGAACTGCAGCCGCCGCTCTTCTGCTTAATTACTGCGTCGTTCGTCTGCATTTGTGTTTGTGCGTACGCCTGCTCATGTGTCCCCCCTCTCTCTCTCTTCTCCTGTTTTGCAAATTAAACAACTTTTAATGTTGATCATTTCTAATCTAGGTCGCGGGGTTCATCTGTCTGGCAACACTTCTCGAACTTTTATGTGTCTTTTTCCTCTCTCATGAGGCTGTTGTTTGTAAAACTTTCGACTGGTATTCTACCGGGAAATCACAGAAGAGGGAAAACGGTAGGAAGCATTATAATGAAGTGAGCTGAGAGGTGAAGTGAAATAACAGCTACCTTCATACACAGGCAGACCGAAATTAGCAACAACCACTAATACAAAAAATGCAGGTAGCGACCTTTGTCATTCATGTGTCTAATGAGATTTCTCAGAACATTGTGCATTCGGGCACATATGACTATAAGGATGTCTATAATCTTTAGTTTCAGTGCAAGACAAAGATTAAAAACTATGAGTAATTGGTTTCTGAAAGTATGTTCTGTTTGTTATACTGTATTTTGGTAATTATCCTTTATTCAATGGCTTTCATTATTGACACATTACAGTCACGGTTGTCACACTGTAATTCTGCTCATAATTCATGCATTAAAATGTATTTCTGGTATGAAGTCACCACATCGGTATTGTTATATAAAATATATAATTTTTATGTATCACATAACATGACTGGAAAATTTTCATATTTGTATTAATGATGTTGAAAAAAGTTTTCCAGTGTTCTGTTTTTGGACACAACTTTGGGACACGCATCCAGAGCACAGCTTAATAAATAGCTGCATTTGACTGTATATTCCGGAGAGTTCTTACGTAAGGCCGGCCCTTAACAGTAGTTTGTCCCTTTGCTTGGTGCCTCGCTGTATGGAGATAATTAACTGAAATAGAAGTGAAACAGGAAAAGGCTGAAATTGAACTGTGAAGGAGAAAGGCTTCTCCTCAGAGACCGCCTGTGGAGGACATGCCTTTTTAATGGAAAAAACACACAGACAATGATTAGCTGATTAGCGGCCGGGTGACTAATTGCCTAATTGTACAGTGAAAAGGGGGGCCGGCAGTGGGCCCCAGAGCTGGGGGGTTAGAGCTCCTCCACGCGGGAGGCGTAGCAGCCTGGGAGGGTCTCTCTCCAGCTTGTCAAGCTCTGCTCCCCGTCGCCTCCCCAGCCTGCTGTTCAGCTCCCTGCGACATCTGCTCCACGCGTGTCCCTCCTGTGATACAGCCCCCCGCTGCAGATGTTACGGTCCCGGGGTCCTGTCTGGGCCCAGAGCCCCGGCCCTTTTGATGTGTGATAAAACGGAATGGAGTGAGCTGCCATGGGGCTCTGGAGGCTCAAGGGCCGTGTGTGTGTGTGTGTGTGTGTGTGTGTGTCTGCGTGCATGTGCGTGTGTGTGTGTGTGCGTGTGTCTGTGCATGTGTGTGTGTACGTGTGTGTGTGTGTGTGTGCGTGTGTCTGTGCGTGCATGTGCGTGTGTGTGCGTGTGTCTGCGTGCGTGTGT